GTCACCCACCTAACTACTAATCAGCCGGTTCATAGCTTATGTATGGCAGAGCGGACGGGATGCCCAGTATTCTATGACCTGTGGTCGTATGTGCTGGGTAATGGTGCTTATTGTGCCTATGAATAGTAGCTGTTCTGAGGCAAGTACATCGGCGTGAAGAGCGAAACCTACTGAGGGTTTTCCGCGGCGTAGACTTTTTCCTCTTTAGGTCCGTAGAGATCTGCCACAGCGAGCCGTTTTTATACTCCTACGCGCACTGTCGATTCTCCAGGGAATCCATGGAACTGGGCGTGCCGGGCTCGTAGAGTAGCCTCCTACCTACCAGGGTTGTGCCGGAGGTCCTTGGTCCCAGCAAAATCTGCCGCAGAGGTATCTCCAGTCCGCTTGCTACTCACCAGTAGCTCTCTGACACGGTGTCCCTCTTCATCTCAAGCCCTTGTGTAATCATCCGGAACGAGGCTCCCTGTCGCCGTCGCAGGATGGTGCCGGCCTGGCTTGGCTCTGAACGGAGGTGTGCGCTGAACAATGTCAACCTTTCTTGGACAAGGTAGCAGGTCGTCCAGGTCGCTCAAGTCCAGCAACAGCCGGTCGATCTGGTCTGGTCGCTCAGGTCCGGTCGCTCGCTCAGGTCTGGTAGCCGGTCGCTCAGGGCGAGCTGCAGGTTGCTCAGCGTGTGCAGCTGGTCGCTCAGGCGGCTGAGCAGGTTAATCAGCGGGCCGCGCATGCTCCTGAGTAGTTCGCTCGAGTTGCTGCATGATGCAGTGGAATTTCAATTGATGATTGAGTTGCTGGTGCAGAGTTGACTGATCGTGAGCTGTGCGCAGGCGGTCGCACAAATGCCAATAATAGAATGCCCTGATGCGGAGACTGTGGGGCAAGGATCCTTAGCGTGCTTAGTCACTATGATTCATTGTGAATGATCTGCCCGTGCTGCCCTGGCCCCACCCAACGTCAAGCGCAGCAATCTTTCTGTGTATTGAAGTCGACTGCGAAGAGTTCAGTAGCCACGATATATAAATAAGCCACACGGAATTATTCAATTCCACCATCACGCAATTCCCCTCTTCCAAGACACAATATCCCACCTATTGGAGAAACATCTTTCTATCACATTGCCGTCATTCGCCATACCGACGACCTCAAACGCCATGCCGACCTCAGATCCATCCAGCCCTATTCGCTTCTACGACATTGGCATGCGACCCCCGGTAGAGAAGAATGCCTGCTCACCAAATCCCTGGAAAGCCCGCCTGGCACTCAACTTCAAAGGGGTACCATTATCGACCACATGGGTGCCTTTACCCGACGTTTCGAAAGTCCGCAACAGTCTCAAAGTACCCGCTGTTCGTAAATTTGGCGATGGCAGCGACTTCTTCACCCTGCCCATCATCGAGGACCCTAACACCGAGGAATTGGTCGGCGACTCCTTCGACATCGCAGCCTACCTACAGAAGACCTACCCGGACTCGGGTGCGGGCGACCTTTTCCCTCCTCTGACACTCGACTACAAATTTGAGAATACGATACACATACCATTAACCGAGTCTCGCGAGAACCTGTTTCCCGAATACACCGAATACGCCAGATTCAACGTGCACGTCGATGCAGCCTTTAGCACACACGTGCAGCTTGCGGTCAAGTTTCTTCCGTTCGACCCAGCTTGTGAGGACATCTGCAAGGCGGAATTTGTCCGCCGCACGGGCGGCTTTGTTAAATCTTGGGAGGAGTTTGCGATAGAAGGCGAGGCCCGAGAGAAGTTACTGGCTTCGTTCCGGGATACGCTTGGTGGGCTGGCCGAGCTGTTCAAGAAGGATACTAGTGGGCCCTTCATACTCGGAACAAGAGCTTGCTATGCGGACATTATCGTCGGTGGATGGTTGCGGAATATGCGCGCGACTCTTCCGGAGAATGAATGGGAGGAGCTAAGAAGTTGGCATGAGGGCATTTTTGGGCGGTTACATGATGCGCTGGAGGTGTATGCAGATATGAAGTAGGGTGTTGTGAATCCTAGACCATGTAGGTAATGCGGCGTTTGTCGGTTTCCGAAAACTAATTTTTACCTCGAAAAGCGAATGGGATTACTGATCTTCTTTAACCTGCGATTGTATTTGCTTACTGGTGGGACTTTTTTTCTCTTTCTTGTAGCAGGAAAAGCAAATTTTATCTCACTGAGCACGAACTTTGGCAGACGACAAAGACAGGTGCTGCCACTATGGTTGCTGCTCTTGATCAGAATCATGAGCTCCGTAGGTCTTCGGTATCGGAGAACGTCGGGATATTTGCATCTTACTCAGACGTGTTGCTTTTTACTGTAAGTCAGGCTAGAGTGGGTTCAAAAAAGCAAATGGCAACACTAAGAAACAGGTAAGATTCAGCTGAGTTCGGCATATCGTATCAAGACTGCTTACACTCTGATCTTTGTGGGAACAATGGACGGATAGAGCTCACTGCTCTACGCCCAGTGGCCGAAATATGCAGGTCCGATCAAATGACGCCAAACGGTACAAGCCAAAGATTCTCAGAAAATGAGCGTTGCTTCTGGACAACTGTTACGGCTATATATAACAGGGAATTTGAATCGTAGCGAACTTATAAATCTGATACACGCTACTACAATATTACTAAATTAGACGACTAATCTGGTAGAATAAGCAAGCATAATACCTGAATAGACGACTAAACCGGTGGAATATGCACACGTCACTTATGCGCGCCTATTCAGTGCGAATAGACGTCTAATTCACGTGTTTAGACGAC